TCGCTGCCTCTTTTATTGCAATAGCAATATGGACACTCTCGCCTGGATTTCGCCGCTGTTGTAAGCGTCGACGTGGGTGTAACCGTCTGTCACCGTGCATGTATTCGTATCTAAATATAAGAAAACGCATCAAAGAAAAATTCTGAAAAAGACTCCGGTGCGTGGATTTGAACGTGGAGCCCCAGAATCGTGAATTCGAGGCACTAACCACTGAGATACGGAGAGGCAAGCTATTTATATCTACCACTTACCGCTGGAGATTGCCATACCGAGGCGAGGGAGGGGGTAGGGCTGTCGTGTTTTCAGCATTACCCGCCAGATGGTGTAATGAGCGCGTGGCGGCACGCGCTCTCATCTCCCACGCGTACTTTGCCGCGCACAGAAGAGAAAGTGGATGCTCGCTCGCGCGCCCTCATCTCTTGTAGGGGAGGATCGTGCATCTTGGCTGGCTTGTGGCTTTCACCGAAATGATTCTGTTGTAGTTACCGGGCACACGAAGGTCACTGCAATCGTTGCAGCCTCCATTTGCGTAAAAACCACGATTTCAAGACACAGTGAAGTAACAACTGAGATGATTATTCGCGTTCATCTCTGTCTGTGAGTACGTTTCACGCATTATTTGTGCGTGAGGAGCGCGGGGCTCATATCGATCTGCTTGCTATTCTTCGCGTGACCTTCCCATTTGTTGCTATCGGGTTCATTGCTATGCGTTTGCGGCAAAGCTGTGAGTACTTTTTGTATTCTCTTCAAAAAAGAGTACGTTCTATGGCTAACTCTGCAACACGCCCCAAAGAGTTAAAAAAATGGCAACATATCCACTGGGTGAATTATGGAGAGTGGGGCGAAGCATTCATGCGTCCATTCGTTCTTGCTTCCGTAGATCCATGCGTCAGTCTGTGTGAGCGTCCGTGCGTCCACCCACCGTCCGTGCGTGCGTCTGTTTGTGCGTCCACACGTCTATTCGCGCGTCTATCCCTGCGTTCGTCCATGCATCCGCCCCTGCGTCCGTCCATGTGTCTATCCGCCATGCAGCAATCCATGCGTCCATCCATGCTTCTGTCTGTGTGTCCGTTCGTCCATCTAGTCAACACACGAAGTACCGCCATCTCTCATCTTTTCATGATATATTCCGCATGTAGAAGCACCGCCGTCCAGCGGTTATTCGAAGGAGTAAACGAGATGTGGCACACACACACTTTCTTAAGACTTGCGCTTCGTGTCTACTTTCCACCTTTAACCACCTCGAGTATATTATATGTACTAGTTCACTGTATTCTTGGCACTGAGGCCCAATGCTCGCTAAACTTACAAGTGTGGCAGCTTGGGCTAGTTGGTATGTCATGACGATAGTTATAGCGCGAGAACAGAACGACGACACACTTCTTGTCTCTAGGTCGTCGTTCTGTTCTCGCGCTATAACTATCGTAAAAGCTCGCTAAACCTTTCTTCGTCCATTCTTCCTTGCTTCCGTCCAAACGTCGGTCTGTGTGACCGTACGTGCGTCTTATCATGCGTCCACACGTCCATCCGTGCGTCCATCCCTGCGTTCGATCATGAATCCGCCCCTGCATCCGTCCATGCGTCCATCCGTCCGTGCAGCTATCCGTGCGTCCGTCCATGTATCTGTCTGAGTGTCCGTTCATCCATCTAGTCAACACTACCTTTTTGCATCTCTTCACCATATATTCCGCATATAGGGGCACCGCCATCCAGCGCACATTCCAATGAGAAGTGGCACACGAGCACTTTCTTACGGCCAGCACTTCGTGTCTACTTCCCACCTTTAACCACCTCGAGTTTATGGTATACATACCAGTTCACTGTATGTATGGCACTACGGCCTCACGCTCGCTAAACCTTTCTAAAACCAAGGAGGTTATGCCACGCGAGTAAAACGTAGCAACCCTTTCTTGTCAAAGAATGCTCAATGTACATGCCAATGGCTGCTAATGGGAAATGAGAGACAGGAGAATTCGCCTTTTAGTTAACGCGCACGCTTCGAATTTTCTATTGTAAAACAACGCACAGGAGAAATCTCCCACCGGCACTACCTTGCAGGTCAAAGCGTAAGACATGCTATGCACTACTACGAGAGACGAACGGGTGCCGCTTTAAAGAGCTTCGCCCTTAAAATTTTGGGGGAAAATAATAAAGTTGCTCGGCTTTCGCAGCACTACACCCACTTCTGCGAGTGGAACTGAGCGCTCGCCGTCTCTCTGCGGCGCCTTCAAAGGGTGCCGACAAGGTAGGCCTTCAAAAGAGATATGTCACGTTGTTCCGCGCATTCAGAACCAGCCGCATACACCTTTATTTTGGCCATAGCAACGTATTTTTCTATCACAATCGGTAAGAAGGCAGTGCTGAAACGCTTTGATCGGAATCTTACACATTAGAAAGAAGGTGTCAAATACTATGAGCGTTGTTTCGATCAAAAGGCTCGCGACAACTTTTTTCTCCCCGATGTTTACAGCGTTAATTAGCGCTGCGCTGATTCTGGCAACACTTGGGCTTTTCTAAGCATGAAGTATGGTTTCGTTTACATAAGCAAGTGCTTTAGAAACTTTGTCGCGTTATGTGTGCAAGTGTATTTGTCACGTATGCTTGTTTTCTGCGCAAGCCATAGGGCTTGCCACTTTCAAAATCAGCTGCTGGGATCCTTCCATAGAGCATTTTCACTTTCGCACGTGAGTATATACACGTGCAGATGCCCATGTGCGTCGTATACAAAACATGGGTTTACCTCACCGAAAAAAAATTCTTCCAACGCCCCTGTGACTTACGCATGCTCCTTTCACGTAAACTGCAGTAGTGAAACCTCACATGACTTACGTACGATGTTTATGCATTCGTTTGCTCTGTGGTGTCTACAGAGGGTGCTGTGTTCTCATTAATTGCGGCGCACTGAAAGTTAGACTTTTCCACTCGCAAGAAACTTGAGAGAAACTTCGAAAAGCAGTTGTTGCAGCTTCCTGAGTGTTCGATTGGTGGGCAGTGCAGCGAAAGCAATTCTTGTGGAAACAGGATTGTTTCCGAGTGATGGACTTATCACTATTCCACTGAATAACTGAGTGGTAATTTCAGGACACCTAACAAGGTCTCCTAAAACCTGAATACCTTGATTAGTTATGGGTTTGTTATGTTTATTGTTACTTTCTTCATGGCCGTATGGCTGAATATTTTGGGGGGGGGGCGAAGTGTGGTTCAACCCCCTTTACCTATGTCCGCACGCGCGTAGCATGCGTGTGTCACGTGTTTTTATGTGCGTGTATATACGGTATTATGTTTGTGCGTGTGTAACATGTGCCCTGTGCGGGCATATATTTGTTTTGCACATTAAGTCGTGCCAACACGAGTAAGCGAGCTGTAGTTCTTACATGTCTTACATGTCCTTATTTACCAAAAACATAGTAAAATGAATAAAACGCGAAAACGAAAAAAGCGCTTCTACAACATTCGAAAGTAGGAGTTGCCTTATCTCAACATACACGACCCAGGCATAGCTTCATTTAGTAATCAAGGGAAATGCTTGCTTATTCAGCTTTTGGCAACATAACTTAATTCGATGGGGTACATGCCATTGACAGCACGAGTCACGGCGCAGAGTAACCTTGAATAGTTACCTGTATAGCAGTGCAGCAAATCAGCGTATAAGTGCTCGTACCTCTCGGACAGGCCCTTTATACACACAAGCACTTTACTTCTTAAACTTGTAATACGCTGGACAGGTTCTTCAACTTTAAGTAAATGTGAAGGGATTTGCCGAAGTGGCTCGATTAATGCGCGCGCAGCAGGATCGTTTCCACTGCTTCGCCAATGATATCTTTATTCTGACAAGAAGTTTGAGGAGAACCCACTTTCGTCCTTCGACGAAGCACTGTTATCCGACGCTGCAACCAAGAAAATTCAGCACAACGCCAAGCGAAAGTGCCGCTTTGACTGCGTTAGGCATAGCCATTTTTGTTTTTTCAGATCAGTGTCGCCAGCACACGAAGCGTTATATGAAGTTGCGAATAGACCACACCGAGTCACATCTTTAACGACTGTCTTGTCACGCACGCAGTGAGGCAGGTCTATTTATATTGGGCTTGTGTGACGGCACCTTCATTCGCTGTCCGTCTGGGGGCCGCAGACGAGCTTGAATGTATACGTACACATTTTGAAGTACGCGTCTACCTATTACAACAAGATTAGGTGTTTTGCATTGAAATACGTGTACTATTATGCGTACATGTGTTTTGCATTCGAAACTTCCAGCTAAATAAAACACGCCTAGTGTATTTTAATGTTTATATGCTAAACTGTTATTCAGTTTAGATGGGGTTTTTAGAATAATGCAAAAAATTTAAGATGCGGATTTTCGGGGTGTTGGAGATTTACGAATAGAAATCTGCAATCATTGTCAAATATGCGGCTATGAGAAATAAACTCGCAAAGACACCCCCAAGGTTTCTAGCAAAACTAAATTCAGAATACGAAGAAACCAAATTACGGCCTATGAGCTGAAAATCCGTGCATCAGTGAATATGCCTGAAATGACAGTGCGTTAAGACAAGAAAATACTTTGAATGACACCACACTATAGTGGTTATTTCCTTCCTTTTATGTAGCTATGCTTCGTAAGAAATCGGTTTTTTCTCCTAGTGTAACGAAACGCCTCCTTTGCGTCTTGCAGCGTTCTTCAGAAAAATAAGACTAGGGGTCAGCTGAGTTTAGAGGTAGGATACACTGACACGACGCATAATTTTGGTAGATGGGGTGAAAAGGAAACAGCAAATTACGGTTAGCAGAAAACACGAAATGAAACCGAGAGAGAAATGTCTTTGCGGAACACCACCAAGAGTTGGTTGAACAAATAAGCACACTAGACCCTTTTTGCGACAAAATCACGACTTTGTTATGGAAAAGCACTCATTTCTCCTACTAACCCGTCATTCTGCCTTAAGTGAGTCGCTTACTCTGCATGGGCGAGCTTTTGACAAATGCGTGATTGGCGTACGTACCTTCGTTCCCTGCTTGGCGAGCAGCCTGAGAGATGCGAGAGAAGCACCCTTGCCCCCGGCCAAAGAGGAGTTGCGGCAAGCGTCATCATCTAGCGACAGCGTGTCCTTGCATATGGGTGCTGCGGAAGTGGTGACAGCAGGTGGCCTTTGGTTATTCGGCAGAGGCAAGGTCGTTTTGGAGGCGCATTTCTTCAAATATATATGCTATGACCGTTTCGCTTGCTTGTAGGCCAGAGTCTGGCCTTAGTCAGGATTGAAAGTACAGTCTGATCGCACTCACATTTTAATATTTTGAGCAAGAAATGTGAGGGAAAGAATGGCTAATACAGAAAAAAATATAAAAGAACCAGAAAAAAAATTTTGGAAAAGCTGGAGCGCTTCGCTATGCGAGTGGCATCGCAGTTGTGTATTTTTTTAGAAGCATTGCAGTGATTGTAGTTTGGTGGCGGTCTTTTTAGTGTAGGCGGTAGCAGGGTAAGGCAAGGGCTTGCCTGTCACAGAAGCACTATCTTTTTTAAATGCGAAGCATTTTTTAGCGATTTTCCGTAACTTTGACCGTATCTATCTATCTATCTATCTATCTATCTATCTATCTCTCTATCTATCTATCTATCTATCTATCTATCTATCTATCTATCTATCTATCTATCTATCTATCTATCTATCTATCTATCTATCTATCTATCTATCTATCTATCTATCTATCTATCTATCTATCTATCTATCTATCTATCTATCTATCTATCTATCTATCTATCTATCTAGCCACCCAGAACTTTCAGCTCTCCTGACCTTTTCGATAATAGTATCGATACCAAATTTGACATGGCACAACAGGACTGTATCAAGGACTCAATTTACTAGTCATAACATGAAAATCGTGCCATGTATCTCATGAATGTCATGATCTGCATTTTATGGTCATGCAGCTCTTGCGGTGGTTTCCTTCACATGGCAAGTCACAAAACTGGTATGGTATGGCATGATTGCATGGCGAACACAAGCAAAACATCCAAAAATGAAAATCATCACATGTGTGTCATGTAAAAACTTGACTACATGCCATGCTCATGTTGCTCTGGTGGCCGTTTCGCTGGAGTCACATATACCAAATTTCGTATTACAGTACGTGAATGGATGACAAAAGTATTATACTGGTGCGAACATGACAATCATGAGATGCGCGTCATGTAACAACATGACTGCACGCCACGCTCATGATGCGCTGGCGGCCGTCTCGCTAGCTTCACTTATACTGATTTGGGTATTACAGGACGTCACTGCAATGCAAGGTATGAATGATACTAGCGCAAGCAAGATGACCATGAGATGCGTGTCATGCAACAACATGACTACATGCTGCACACATGATGCGCTCGCGGCCATTTCGCTAGCTTTGCAAGTACGAAACTTGCTGTTACGCGTGCGAACAGACGGCATAGGTAAATGACGCATCCAAACATGATATTCACAACATGCGTGTCATGTGACAACAAGACTACCTGCCACACTCATGATACTCTCGTGGCTGTTTTGCAAGCTTCCCATATGCCACATTTGGTATTACGTGAGGCCAATGAATGACGAAGGCATGTGACCGGTGCAAACATGATAATGATGAGATGCGTGTCATGTGAGAACATGACTTCATGCCACAGTCGAGGCGCCAAAACATTTTGACGTAACGTGGTGCGCGTGCTCACCGGCGTTCATTTCGTCGCGTCACGCCGGCGTTGCCACGCCAGGTGCCGGTCCTGCCATATACTCGCAGGCGTGCGCCACGCTGCGTTGCTTTGACGCATGCGCAATTCAGCGCGTCCGGCGTCCCTCCCTCACGAAAAGAGGGAGACGACGCAGTTTTTCCTGGGTAACCGGTTACCGTCGGGCCCCACTGAAGGACGCCAGTCGCGCCTGGCGGCAGACTATACAGTACTCGCGTTTTACTAACGTAGCGTCGCTGTGCCCAGCGTGCGCACCCGTCAACGCTACATTGGAGTCTGTTGGTCACTTCATGATGCGCTCGCGGCTGTTTTGCTAGCTCCGCATATACCATATTTGCTGTTGCTTGACGTCAGAGGATGATAAAGTATATGACCGGTGCAAACAAGATAATCCTCACACGCGTGTCTTATAATAACATGAAAACATACCACGCTCATAGCGTGCTCACGGCTGTTTCGCTATAGGCGCGTGTACATATATATATATATATATATATATATATATATATATATATATATATATATATATATATATACATATATATATATATATATATATATATATATATATAAACTTTGAGAATAGTGCAGCATAGGAAACAAAACAATAAAATATTTATTTATTCCTAACAGTTTCGGCTGGTGGACCAGCCTTCTTCGGTGAATCTTAGTGAAATTTCACTATTTCCTCATGTATTTCATCTATATATATATATATATATATATATATATATATATATATATATACATATATATATATTTATATATATAGAAAAGAAGTAGATACTTAAGGGCTCATTTTTTCCGTGTTTTGACACAATAATATTAAAATACCGGGTGTTCAAAATTAAGCTTTATGATTTTTTTAAAATTAGGCGCTCGAAGGCACGTGAGAACCACTTGTGCAAATAAGTTAAGCGGCCAGGGGGACAGAAAGTTAGATGATAATTATCGCTGTCAGCAGCCCAATTAACTAAAATTTAATAATTAACTTTTTACTGGCTGCGGTAAGTTGGCATGTTTATATTGAAAAAATGTAGGCAGTGGTGTTTGTACACAGTTTCAGTTGGAAGATTTTTTCTAGCACGCCTGTGTTCCGAGATATCCGGCTCCAAAGTTTAATTGTCTTTCGCACGATTACGCATGCAAGAGGGTGAGGGTCCGCGCAAAGCTCCTCCCTAAAGTGACGCATCTGTTGCGTGTGGTGTTTAGTGTGTGAAGAGGGTGGAAGCGTAGGCATAGGTGATAGCAATTACCCTTGCCCTCTTCGGCCGTCGAAATCAAAAATCGAAGAACGCTTGCAACCAGTGTCGTAACACGCAACTGCAGAGCCTCTAACGATAGTGGCAGATACCATGCCGAGATAATGGTGCGAGCGGAGAATCTGGATGCCAGTGCGCGTGCGTAATAATCACTAGAGAAGCATGCGTGGTCGTTGCCTGGGCTACGCGAATAGCGTGACTGCTGATGTCCGAGTACTGTAACTTTTATTGAAACAAGAGCAACAACTCCACCAATAATAACTGAAACAGTTTTATCCTTGCTAACGCATATTTCCTGCTGCTACATAAGCATATTTCGGTCATGCACAAATCTCATCGAAACTCTTCACCTCTCAAGACGTCAATGCCCCAAAAAGTGTTCAAAATGCCTGCCTTCGGCAGCAACGCAAAGCATGAACCGCTGTCGCGTCGACTCGATGACTCGGCGCAGTACTTCTGCAGGAATACTCGCACAGGCAGATGTTATCCTGTCCTTCATGTCATTAACATCGCTGGGCTCTGTTACGTAAACTCGATCTTTAACGTAGCCCCAAAGGAAAAAGTCGAGCGGAGAAAGGTCAGGTGATCTTGGTGGCCAAAACATCGCTCCTGCGCGCCCAATCCACTGTTGTGGAAAACGTCTGTCCAACCAGTTCTTCGCCCTGGTAGAAAAATGTGGTGGTGCTCCATCGTGCTGAAACCATACTTGGCGCAGGTCATTCAGGGAAAGACTGCAGACAAGATCATCAATGACAACACCTAATATTTCTTCTGTGTACATCTTTCCGTTCAAGTTGTCCTCAAAAAAGTGAGGTCCGATGATCCTGTCCCCGAGTATGCCGCACCACACATTCACACTCCAGCGAACTTGATGCTTGTGCTGCCTCAGCCAGTGTGGGTTTTCTTGTGCCCAATAATGGGCGTTGTGAAGATTAACACTTCCATTTCGGCAAAACCGAGCTTCATCAGTCCAAATTATTCTGTGCAAAAAGTCATTTTCTTGATCAGTTTTGATGAGGCCCCAATTGCAGAAGTCAACTCGCCTTTCAAAGTCCGCCTCATTTAGGTCCTGATGAAGGTAAACGTGATATGGATGGAACTTGTGCTTTCTTAAAACATTTGTGACTGTTCCGATGCTGCGACCGCACTGATCGGCAATCTGTCGGATGCTGAGCTCTGGCATCGAGGTTACGCACGCGACAACGTCGATTTCAAAGTCTTCATCGACGATTGCCTTCCTGGTCCGTCTCGGAAGGTGGACAGAGCCTGTTGTGCAGAAGCGTCGAAACAGGTTTGTGAAAGTGGGCCTTGTTGGAAGGGGACGGTGTGGGTGGCGAGACGCGTAAAGCTCCATTGCTAACGAAGCGTTGCCATTCATTTCAGCCATTGCAAGCACCACGTCTACTTTTACTTTGGTAGAATACCTCACGCCAGAAGCAGCCATATTAGCTCGAAAGGACTCCACGTGGATTTCCTTGGTAGACCTTCAATGCAGAGACGCTGTGCTCTAACCGGAGGCACCCTAGTGCAGGACGGTCCTGCTAACGCGTTCACAAGAAGATGTCTCAGTGTGATCTAAAGTCACGAAAAAACGTCGCGAAAAATGGTCTCCTGTTATCGCGTTCATCAGGATCATGCGTAAGGCTCATGGCGCACCGCGCTGTCACATTTTGATTTCGCCGGCCGAAGAGGGCAAGGGTAATTGCTATCACCTATGCCTACGCTTCCACCCTCTTCACACACTAAACACCACACGCAACAGATGCGTCACTTTAGGGAGGAGCTTTGCGCGGACCCTCACCCTCTTGCATGCGTAATCGTGCGAAAGACAATTAAACTTTGGAGCCGGATATCTCGGAACACAGGCGTGCTAGAAAAAATCTTCCAACTGAAACTGTGTACAAACACCACTGCCTACATTTTTTCAATATAAACATGCCAACTTACCGCAGCCAGTAAAAAGTTAATTATTAAATTTTAGTTAATTGGGCTGCTGACAGCGATAATTATCATCTAACTTTCTGTCCCCCTGGCCGCTTAACTTATTTGCACAAGTGGTTCTCACGTGCCTTCGAGCGCCTAATTTTAAAAAAATCATAAAGCTTAATTTTGAACAC